TTATGGATTTTTGCTTCATGGATCTTCACGGATTCAAAAAGACTAGAGACTTCTAGATGTGTTACACAGTTATAACCAAGGGTAGAAGAGATGAGAGTGTTGAAATCTGATGTGGCCGAAACTATTAGGTGAAAATGGATTAATAAAGATGACCTATGCCTCCTTTTTAAAGTAATGACAACCTGACTTTTAAGTTTAATTTACCTTTTGATTCATAAGCAGTGACTTGGCCTCAGAGTAGAGATGAAAGCTAACTGGATTTTTCAAAGTCCCTGGGAAACACTAAAACTGTGTCACTATTACAAGGTCATCCAATTTTATTCTTCTTTTTGGAAAACAGAACCTTTTTTGTTCTTTCCTTTAGTAAGCAGAAGAAAGGATTTGAACTCAGGTTCTTTCAGCAATTTTTTTCTACTTCACCATGTGCAGGGGAAAAGATTCCTACTGACTACTATAGAAAGAATTGTTAATGAGCCTAATGACAAATCTTGAGGCAACCCTCAATTTCAATTAGCTGATAAGGCTAAATCTGTTAGGGTGCTAGGACTCATGGGATCTTCTGGCCTTGGTCTTTTATCTTTTAGCATACCATCAAAAGTGAACTCACAAAATAACTATACAGTTTTGCTGTGGAAATATGTTTAACATGAATTATCAGAATATAGACTATAAAGGAATTCAACTCAATAATGAGCATTGCCATCTAAATTGAACTACTTAAAACATGCACTGTGAACAGTAAGAGGAATCCTTAGCTCAACAACACATAAATCCATCAGTAATAAGATCTGTAGAATAAAAATACAATCCTTCACAATAATACAAGGTATATAATTATTACTATAAAGAGAATGGTACCAGATTACCTGATCCACCTACAGAAGTCAAGCCTCAGGTCAACCTTTTTATAGGTAATGTAAAACCTATCCATACTGGAAACTCAAAGGTAGCTCAATGCCCATTCACATTTAAGACTGCCAGAACACATTGGTTTGGGAGTCTGACCCCACTTAATTAAACAGAGATCCATCTTTCTCCTCAGAGGCCACAGAACTGAATCAAAAGGATACTGCCCTAGGTCTAGGGTAAGATCCTACTTCCTCCCATCTGTGATCAAGTGGGGAACCTTTCTGTACTGGCAGAAGCTAGGTGGGGGAAGGGGAAATTTCTTCTATTTTCCTTCTCCCGCATTTAAATGGCCAGGAGGTATACTTTCGATCATGATATTACAAAGTATATTGGAGCCAAGGACACCTTGGAACACTCTTCCGTCATTCCCAATGGTGGATTGATGATACAATGCCCATTATCAGTTATGCCCACCATATTATTTACAATAGCAGAAGCTAAAGTATCAGTTGGCAGCTATGGCATTATCAAGAAAAGGGAGGCGCTAGAGACACTTTGCAACAACAGTTAGCATCTGCTGCTATCTTAACTATTACTGATGCATTTGGCCCCAACTGCTTTGTGTTTTAGTCTGTTCTTCAAAGCACAAGTACATATTCACACAGAATTTCAAGTATCTGTGACTTTGTACAGCAGAAGAGCTTTAAATATCTTCAGCCATATACATCTGGGCATTTGAGATTAGAATTAGAGCCCTACATCTTTCCATCAATATCTTTAACGTTGTTGATGTAGCTGCTGTTCAGTCATTTTCAGTCATGTCCAACTCTTCATGACTCCATTGGTGGTTTTCTTGGCAAGGATACTGGAGCAGCTGGATATTTCCTTTTCCAGATTTACATTTTACAGATGAGGAAACTAAGGTAAACAGGGCTAAGTGACTTGTCCAGGGTCGCAGAGCTAGTAAGTGTCTGAGGACAGATTTGAAATCAGGAAGATGAGTCTTCCTGACTCAAGACACAGCACTCTATCCACTATGCCACCTAGCTGCCCTATATCTTTAACCTACCCTTTAAAATATTTATTTTTATATCTATGATGATACAAAAAAAATAAGTGATTTGGATCTAACACACAGCAACTCTCAATATTGCGAACACTTTTCTTTGAATTTCATTTCTAGCTTAATTTAACAAGAGACTTATGAAATGCCCTTGTTCATAACCTCAATCCCTACAGGCTTGAGCCATTCCAGAGATTATAGAAAAATGCCTATCCTGCAATGCAAAGACTTATATCGGTTACTCCAGTAGACTACCAGGAAATTTCATCTAATAGAGAAAGAAATATAGTATGGGCTTCCCCTTCCCTAGTTTATGTGGCAATAACCAAACATTTCTTCCTAAAGAAAAATAGTGTTTTCCTATATTTATGAATATTATCAAGTACAAATTATGTCTATTTTAAAACCATATTTATTGCAGACTACTCCATGGAAGTATAAAATATTCAGCTTTCATTTTAATAAGAACACTGAGTGTTGGGAAAGGCATATTCTCCTTACCCAAACATCTATGCATTTTGGGGGCTGACCATATGTATCATCCTTTAACTAGAAAGGGGCTCTAAGTGAAGTCTGTAAGGAAGATAGCTCAAATGAGGCAAGCTCTCTTTAACTTCCAGACCCAAGAACTTTACTTAGGAGAATTGACTCCGTGGGAAAAGCCATCTTCTGACCCATGTTACTCTTTATTTTAGATGACAACCTATACCATTTGAAAAGGGCCATAAGTAGCAACATCCTTCACAAAATTGTTACTTCCTTGAGGGGTTCTGTGACATTATTCAAGTCTGATGTTTCAGTTCAGGTTTTAACATCAGGTTGCTTGTGATATTACCACAGTCTGCTCTGTGTTCATAAGGTTCATTTGGAGAAGCAGTCCACAAATTGATAAATGGTCAATGGATATGAACAGGCAGTTTTCAGATGAAGAAATCAAAGCTATTTTAGTCATATGATGAAGTGCTCTAAATCATCTTGATTAGAGAAATACAAATTAAAATAACTCTGAGGTACCACCTCATACCTATCAGATTGACTAATATGTCAAAAAAGGAAAATTACAAATTTTGGAGAGGATGTGGGAAAATTGGGACACTAATGCACTATTAGTAGAGTTGTGAATTAATCCAACCATTCTGGAGAGCAATTTGGAACTATGCCCAAAGGGCAATCAAATTGTGCATACTCTTGGATCCAGCAATACCTCTACTAGGTCTATATCCCAAAGAGATCATAAAAAAGGGAAAAGGACCTACATGTACAAAAATATTTATAGCAGGGGCAGCTAGGTGGTGCAGTGGATAGAGCACCAGCTCTGCAGTTAGGAGGACCTGAGTTCAAATCTGGCCTCAGACACATAACATTCACTAGCTGTGTGATTCTGGGCAAGTCATTTAACCCCATTGCCTAGCCAAAAAAATATATATGTATGTATGTATGTATGTGTATGTATATGTGTATATATATTTATAGCAGCTCTTTTTGTGATGGCAAAATATTGGAAATTGAGGGGATGACCATTAATTGATGAATGGCTGAACAAATTGTGTTATATGAATATGATGGAATACTATTGTACAATATAAAATGAACAGGCAAATTTCAGAAAAACCTGGGAAGACTTGTAAGAACTGATGCAAAGTGAAATGAACAGAACCAGGAAAACATTGTACACAGTAACAGCAACATTGTGTGATGATCAACTATGAATGACTTAGCTCTTCTCACCAAGACAATAATCCAAGACAATTACAAAGGACTCATGCTGGAAAATAATATGCATATCCAGATACCGATAGACTCTGAATGCAGATTGAAGCATACTTTTTTCATTTACTTTATTTTTTTCTTGGCTTTTTTTTCCTTTTGGTCTATTTCTTCTTTCACAACTGTCACTACTATGGAAATACGTTTTACATGAATGCATATACATAACCTGTATCAAATTGCTTACCATTTTAGGAAGAAGGGAGAGGAGGAAGGGAGAAAAATTTGGAACTCAAAATCTTGTAAAAATAAATGCTAAAATTGTCTTTACATATAATTGGGAAAAAATAAAATACTATGAAAGAAGTTGTCAATAAACATTCAAACAAGTGTTTTTGGTTTGTTTGTTTTTTATGTGCCAGGCATTGCGATCAGCAATGGAAATACCAAGAAAGACACCCCGCCTCAAACAGCTCCTGCTCTCAAACAGCTTCCATTATTGTAAGGTGGGATACCACGTGTAAATAATTAGGCACATACAAGATATCTACAGAGTAGATGAAGGCAATTCAAAAGGGGAGGTTATAAGTAACTCAGGGGGGACTGGAAAGACCTCCTGAAGAGAATAAAATTTGAATTGTGTCCCTAAGGAATCCAGGGAAATCTGGAAGGAGATGTGTCCTTCTGGAAGCTAGGAATGATCTGAATAGATATGGTTATTGAATTGAAATCATAAAGTGATATAACATACAGCAGAGAATCTTAAACTTTTTTTCCATATTATTGGACCTTTTTGGCAGTCTAGTAAAACTTATGGACCACTTCTCTGAATAATGTTTTTAAATGCATGAAATAAAATGTATAGGATTACAAAGGAAACTAATTATATTAAAAAGTTATCAAAATATTTTAAAATAATTTCATAGGCCCTATATCAAGACACTTTGGTATACAGAAAAATAAGGAGACAACACAGGACAGAGTTTGGGGGAATATCCATAGTTAGTAGGCATGACATGGATGAAGAAGTAGCAAAGGAGACTGAGAAGGAGCAGCCAAATAGATATGAGGTCAGCCAGAAGAGAGAAAGCAGTATCATAAAAATCTAGAGAAGAAAGAACTGAGGAGAAAGCGATCAGTAGAGGCAAATGCTGCAGAGAAGTCAGGGGTCAGGATTGAGAAAAGACCATTAGATTTGGTGATTAAGAGATCACTGGAAACTTTGCAGAGAGCAATTTCAGTTAAATGATGAGTCAGAAGCCAAATTGCAGTTTTTAGAAACAAATGAAAAGAGATGAAGTAAAGGCACAGAATATAGGCAAATGAAACTCTTCTACCTGGGTATATATTGGCAGTATTTCCAGATCTTTATCTGGGAGTATCATGCTCCCCTACTATTTTTCTTCATAGCTTTATACAACTTGATGTTCAAACTAGGGAAATTAGAAATTTCCTCCAGGTCAAACAACTCCTGAAACCTATCCACAAATTTATTTTCCTTATTTAACCTAAATTTCATGACCCAGAGGATAATGGTAGTGTCTTGACACAGGTGGTCAAAAGTGGTAAGAAGCTCATCCAGGAAGGGGTGGGCATACACAACATCTGTGGCTAGGACATAGTCAAAATGGTTTGAAGACCTGGGGAAATTCTTCTCTAAGGCTATCCCCCAAGATAACTCCTTCACCTGAGGCTGATGCTTGCATTTCATTTTGGTGTTTCGGGAAACATTATACTGAAGGTTTCCAAGTAAATTGGGCAGGTCTGTGGCAATCACTCGAGCACCTATAACATAAAGGAACAATGGTGAAAGTCACCCCATCAGTATGGGGAGGTATTAGTCAAAAAATCATACCCACAAACATCCAGAAAGACCACACTGACCCAATAGCTATTACTACCCAAGGGCCCTAGTAGTCCAACAATTACATTGAAATGAAAGCCCATTCACCAAATGAGTAGTCAGGTAGCCATTTGACACTTCAAAATGTTGGACTTCCACAGTACTAAATAATAGACTAAAAAATAAATACTATTTAGCTAAGTTGTTTCCCTATGCACCTGCTATAGACTGGGGGAAAGGACCCTATCACTGAATGGTATTAAAAAAAAAAGCGGCAGTTCCTCTTCTATGGAAATGGTCATTAGTGAGTAGCCAGCAGTCACAGGGGAGTAGATTCTTTGCCATTTACCTACCTAAGCCAAGCAAGACTACCAAACCTTATCAAAATGAGTTCAAACTAGCATATTTAGGGGATCCGTAATTTGTTTTTCACTACTAATTTTGTCAAAACAATGGACATTTAATTTACTAAATCTATCTCAAAAGTTAACAATTTATGGGTGTAAATCAAACATTAGGCAGCTAGATGGCAGAGTGGATAGAATGTTGGACTTGAGGTCAGGGAGATCTGAGTTCAAATACTTCCACTGACCTGCTGCATGGCCCTCGGCAAATCACTTTATTTTTCTCAGCTGCAGTTTCCTCATCTGTAGAGTGGAGATTATAATAGCAGCTACTTCACAAAATTGTTGTGTGGATTAAAAGAAAAATATATGTAAAGCATTTTGTAAACATTAATGTGCTAGGTAAACACTAGCTATCACAATTGTTTCTCCCTATGCCAAGTAGAGATTCAGCTTTGTGCAAAGAATTTTAGTGCACACTAGATTTGTTGATGTTGATCATGACTTTAAGAACATCATTTACCCAGTTGGAAAGGTACAAATTGCTAAGATCTGGGGCTCTCTCAAGGTTTTTCTAGTGCCAGGTGTGTACTTCTGAAGACCAACGAAATCAAGACAGATACATACTTATGCATAACAGAATAAAGCTAACTTAAGGCAACCAAAATGGATTTTTTAAGAGAAAAATTGAAACAAACTTAGGCATGTCTACAGCACATGTAGCTAGATGGAAAAAAAAAAAAAAAGAGGAATCAACAGAACAGGGTACTGGTAAAGGCATAGTGAAAATGAACAAAAGAAACTATTCCAAGTACAAATACCTAGAAAAAGAAGCGAATTATGAGAAGACAAACTCCATTATCAACATGTCTGTGTGGCTATTGAAACAGGTGTTCCTTCAGAAAGGAGAAGGAATGCACAGCCATGTGGACGGCATGAGAACTTGGCTACCAGTCATATCATGTTAGAATCATTAACAAGCATAGCTTATGCCTGTCCCTAATTCTTTTCCCATCCTTCTACTTGTCAGCCTTTCTAGGGGGTGCTGCCCACTCATTGTTGGTTTATGATTTCTATGACTTAGCACAAAACGGCATATAATCATACCTTCACAAAACATTCTGAAGGAACAATTAATATTTAACTTTTAAGTTGGTAGACCTTCCCAATAAAGCCTATTGAAAGTGTTTGAAAAGCTAAAAATGGGTACACAATATTTTTCACCAGATGGTGATGGCCACTAATGTTATTTTTCATTAGAGCCTCTAACTCCAGTCAATCAAAAGTATCCAACTTACCAAGTAAACTTGCCACTATTGAGACTAGTCCTGTCCCAGCCCCAATTTCAATTACATTTTTGTCAGCCAGATTATACTGCTTTGAATTTGTTTCCAGAAAGTGACAGAGAACAAGAGCCTGTGAGGGAGTGAAAAAAAGAAAATATTTTGCTAGCAAATCATAACTGAAAATTAATTTTTTTCTTTTATGGACCTAGAAAATATACTTTGTGTGGACTCTCTACCCAAGCATATATGCAACAATTGAGAAGAATGTCAACAGAAAAAAAATATTCCAATGAAATCAACCAATCACCTTAAGGAAAACTATGAACAAAAACATGGAATGTTCTAAAAGCCTCAAGTTCAGTCATTTAGGTTCAATCAGGCCTCAAAAGTGGAGGTGGGCAGGGAATAACTTTTACAAACAACAGCTCTTTAGGATGAGAATAAAGAGTTACTACTGGTGAATTTTCATAGTGAGGCAGATTAGTGATTGCCCCCAAAATAATATATTTGAAGGCATGATGCTTTTTTAGAATACTATTAGTGTCAAGGCTGGGAATGAATTTATTTTTAGTTATTTGACATGAACATAGCTAGTTTAGTATGAAAGGAGGAATTTTAATTTTCTACCAAATACCTGGAGTCATGAAAAACTCAATATCTAAACAGTGCTTTCTGTTAGATCTTCAACCCAAAGCCAATAATCTTGAAAAATCAGAAATGGGACTGATAAAAGCAATTTCCCAGTTGTGTAGTATCTATCCTTTAGTTTTGTTTCTGTTGCCAAGACAAAGTAGGGAATCATGGTACCTATTATCTTCTACTGAACGTTCTACTACACAACAAGACAGTCTCTTTTTGAACTGATAGTATCTGAATACATATTGAAGCATACTATATTACACTTTTTTTGTAAGCAGGGGCAGGGGAGAAGAGGGTTGGTCTGTGTTTTCTTTCACCACATGACTAATATAGAAATATGTTTTGCATGATTGCACATGTATAACCTATATCAAATTGTTTACCATCTGAAGGAGGGGAGACAGGAGGGAGAAAGGAAGAAAAATTTTAGAGCTCAAAAAAAACCAAATGTTAAAAATTGTTTTTACATGCAATAAGGAAAAAATAAAATATTATATTCATAAAAAGGAAACTCTTTCCTGGAAAGAGTTTACATATTGAAAATAATACCGATGGCCAGACAACAGCACCATAGCAATCAGTGGCTTCTGTAATTCTTATCTCATGTCCAGCAAAATGAAAACCTTCCCAGGAAGTGGTTGTTATCAGAGATGGAAAAAAACATCTTGCCATGATCTCTGAGACCACCTCTTTGTCTTCATTTTCTCCATTTTCTCCTAGAAGTAAAATGACAAGAGACAAAGAGAGTTTTATCAAACTAATATATTAAATATAGCTTCTTTTTTGTGCCATAATAAAGGAAATAAATCTATACTTTTATAGATTGATTAGGAATCAAATGGGAAATTAGAAAGTACAGAGAGATACTAAATGTAATCTTCCCTAAAGTTACCTCCTTGACTTTTATCTTAAGTACAATAAATATTGACCCCCAAACTTGAACTCGCCTATGTGACAGCATGGATTGTGAAAAGGGGTCATGCAAGTCATAGAGTCATTCTGATGACAAAACTGTCCATCATCAGTGCAGCCTTGTCAATCCATACCAAAAATTAATCACCTGAAACTTTTCTAACCCTCAATCAAAGTATGCTAGCAGTAGAATGAATAATTTCAGTACTCATTGATAATTAAATCTACTCACCTGGAATAAACTGTCATCTTCCCTGAGTAAGCACATGAGAATATGCGTGACCCTGGGCAAGTCACTTAATCCTGTTTGCTTCAGTTTCCTCATCTGTAAAGTGAGCTGGAGAAGGAAATGGCAAACCACTCCACTATCTTTGCCAAGAAAACCCCAAGTGGGGTCACAAAGATTCAGACACAAATGAAATGACTGAACAAAAACAACAAGCAGATATATATACAAATACCTATAATAAAAGGCAGCATTTATTGTGTCATGCGACATATTAGAGGTTCAGAAGGACATAACTGCAAAAATGTCCAGTGGGCAGTTGGACATGTAGGACTGGAGCTCAAAAAAATGATACTGATTCTAAAGAGACAGTCCATTGATTTAGAATTGGAAAAAACCTTAGAGATCTTCTAGCCCATGGGGTCTTAACATTGGATCCATGAAACACTAAGGAATCTATGGATAGATGTGGGGGGGGGGTGTCAGTGAATTAGATGTGGAAAAAAATTGCATCTTAATTTTCTCCAACCTCTAACTGGAATTTAGCACTTCCTTCAATGATTTAAAACCATCATTCTGAGAAGGGGTCTATAGGCTTCCCCAGACTAGCAAAAGAGTCCACGACACCCTAAAAAGGATTAAAAACACTTTCTAATCCAACCCCCTCATTTTACAGACAAGGAAACTGAGGCCCAGAGAGATTCAGTGATTTCACACAAGATCAGACAGGTAGTAAATAGCAGAACCAAGATTTGAACATGTCTTCTATCCTGGAATCTGCTATTTCTTTCCAGGACACCATTGCTGTTGTCGTTGTTCAGTCATTTCAGTCATGTCCAAACCTTTGTGATTCCATCTGGGGCATTCTCAGCAGATATACTGGAGTGATTTGCCATTTCCTTCTCCAGCTCATTTTACAGATGAGGAAACTGAGGTACTTGCTCTGGGTCACACGTTAGTAAGGATCTGTGGCCAGATTTGAACCATGAAGTCTTCCTGACTCCAAGGCTGGCACTCTATCCGCCGTACCACCTAGATGCCCGAGGACACCAGGCTGGCTTTAAAATAGAAGTGATCAGCTTTTGTGACTAGCAAATTGATGGAATACTTGTTTTCCACAAACCTCTCCAACTAAAGAAGATATGAAGTGCAAGCAACAGAGAATGCATGCAGAAAGAGCTTCTGTGCCTAAGGGGAAGAGGACTGGAATCCTAGCCAGACCAGTCTTCTCTCCCAAGAATTTACTTTGGGCAGGGATGCTAGCCAGGTCTCCACAGCCCCTGTTCAAGGAGGCTGAGGATGCCCAGCCCCTGGGGGTTGTGTACCCCCAGTAGAAGAGGAGGAGACAAATAATGAGGAAAGGAGCCAGAGATAAGTGAGTGGGACTGCAAGATATAGATTGGAAAAAAAAATCCAAGTGAGTAAAAACCTCTCTCACAAGCAGATATAGCAACAGAGATGTTCATAAAGACAGAAGAAAGAATGAGTAAAACCTCAAACACGGGTCAGAATATAACAAACAAGTATTAAAGCATTAATGCTGTAAAGAAAACTTTAACCAAAAGAAGAATTCTACGGACTCCTCTGACATCCAGAAGGAACAACAAGAAACTCTGTAATGGCACAAAAGAGAAAAGAAACTTGAAAAGAAGGCTAGAATGTAATTAGATCACATATCAGAGCTCTTAGTGAAGAATTTCAAAACACAGTAGAGTACAGAATTTAGAACACAAGGACAGAATCATAAAGAATTTTTTAGTTAGGAAGGATTTTGGTAGCTATCAACTAAAGACTATACAAAAGGAACTCTCACTACAAAATATCCAACACATGATCATCCATCCTCTAAACTTGAAGGTTTCCAGTGGGTGAGGGGAATCTCACCAATTCCTAAAGCAGCCCATTCCACTTTTGGACAGTTCTAATAGGAAGTTTGCTTGTTTGTTTGTTTTCCTCAATGTCATCTAAATTTGCCTGTTTGATGCTTGCAATCATTGCTCCTAGTTTTGCCTTCTAGGGGCAAACAGAATCATTCTAATCCCTCTTCTATATGATATGCCTTCAGATACTTGAAGCCACTAGGGTTAGAACAGTGCCTAATACTACATGCCCACATAAGCTTATGTTGGCTATGCAACCTGAATATTGAAGGTCAAATCATTTTTAAAAATCAGAAGAAAACAATATCAGGCATTCATAGCAATGCCTAAAAGAAAATTCTTAACCAAACAAGGAATAGAAGTAATTACAGAAGATTTTTAGAAATGTGTTTTCCTGAAATTGAAAAACTTGTGCAGCTAGGGTATGAAAAGAAACCATCAATAACATCAACTTGCATCAGATATCTTTAATGAGGGGTCTGAAATCTAAGATATGCTCAAGCGCTAAAGGGAGATGAACAAACATATCTCAAAAGGAAAAATACAAATTATTACTAATCATATAAAAGATTGCTCCGAATAATAGAAAATGAGAGAAATGCACATCAAAATAACTCTGAGGTTTCACTTCACATCCAGCAAATTGGCAAAGATTATAAAAGATAGAAATAGTCAATGCTGAAAGGACTAAATAAAGACAGACAAATTTGATATACTATTGGTGGGGTTATGAATTGGCTCACCCATTATATAAATCAATTTTAAAAAAAGAAAAAAGAAATCAATTTGGAATTATGCTAAGAAAATAACTAAAATATCTATACCCTTTAGCCCAGAGATGCCAGTGCTAGGTGCAAGGTCACACACACCAAAACATTTATAGTGGCAATTTTGGTGGTAGCAAAGAACTAGAAACAAAACAGATACATTCTGATTGATTTATGGTAAAATAAATTGTGGTATATGAAGATAATGGAATATTACTGTATTCTACATAAACATAAACATGAAGAATACAGAAAAGCATACAAAAAATTAATGCAACGTGAAGTAAGAAGAACCAACAAACAGTATCCAATGACTAAAGCAATGTAAATGGAAAGATCACAAAAAGTCAAAATTAAATCCTATGTAATTATAACAACCAAGTTTGCTCCTCTCCCTGAAAAAAAAAAAGTATGCCATCAAAAAAGAGATAAGAAAATTCACCATACTCCCTTCTTTACAGAAGTGAGATGTTCTGGATGTATAATATTGCTTATCTACAAGGCTTGACTGATATATTGGTTTGTTTTACTTTTTTTTTTTTTGCTTCTTTGGGCCATTTGGCTCTTTGCAGAGGGGCAGTGGAGAGCTATATTTGGAAACACAGGTTGTGTTAAAACAAAAGATATCAGTTGAAAAGGCCATGTCCATACCATGATGCTTATACTTTGGCTTCTACCTCTGACCTGGAACACAACCTCCCACCTTGAGAACCTCCAGCTTCTGACTGGTACATGTTCATCTTATGCTGCCCAGACCCAGACCCACCACATCACTTTCAGTCATCAGTGTCACCTTCTCTTTCAGCCCAAACCACCCCCACTTTCCAACCTTAGCTCTGAGAGCAACAATCCAATCAATACTACTATTCTAGAGTGAGTATGTCAATCAACGACCCTATTTTTCCAAACACCGTTCACTTTGATTTCTCCGACAAAGACACTCCTCCTTGATCACTGCTCCCATATGTGTTCTGACTTCCCCAATTAGAATGAGTTCCTTCAGGTTAGAGACAGTCTCATTTCCTTGTACTTTAATCCCCATTATGTAGTACAATGTCCGGTGCATGGCAAACAAAATGCTCATTTCATTCATTCACTGAACATGTCTGTATTAAGAGAAGCAACATAGCATGGTTGATAAATTGATGACCTTGAAGCCTGACTCTGATACATATTGACTGTGTGATCCTAGTCAAGTCACTTAACTTTTCAATGTAATTCTCTAAGACTACAAGTTGCAGGTACAGAAAGGACCTGACATGAATTACCGTTACTGTTTATGTCTCCGTTATCCTTTGGGTAACTTAACTTCCATTCTCCATAGACTGTGACATTCCAAGACTTGCAGCCATATAATATTCCCAGGAGACTACTGATATTAAAAAGTGGGCCTTTTGCTTCAGAGAGAAGTAGAAGGTAGGGGAAATTGGTAGCTATTGTTGGTATGACCTTTCCCAAAGCCAGAGCCCTAGCAGGTACTTCCTGCCAAGTTGGTTAATTGCCCAACCTCTTGCAAACCTAATACAGTACTGTTGCAAAAGCCAAGAGAGCCAACAGTTTCCCATGGAAACCCCACCGTCATCACAGACCACAGAAGCATCTACCCAAAGAAGATGATTACATAACAAAATGATCTACTTGAGCAACTCCTGCATTAAATTTCACTACATTTTACCCCGTACAACTGGCTGTTTCCACATTCAGGAAGCAGCTCTGGCAGGCATCAGATAACATCTCTGATATGCCTTATTTGACCTTTTGCTTTCATTTCACCATATTCACTTGTCTTCGCTGAGATTTTTCTGGCATCTTCTGCTCTTCCAGTTCTTTAGGGAAAAAAGAGAGAACTTTAATTGCTTCCTTGACTTTATCTGAACTTGTCCTCATGGGGCCCTGTGCACACTCCTTCTAGATAGCAGCAGTGTTTTGACATTGTCACCTAAGGTTTCAGGGACTAATAGAAGTTAGAGCACACTAAATCCCAAGTGCAGCACTAGGTTCTGAGTCTTTGATACAAAAAGGTTGTCAATGAGCAATTGCCAAGAGAACCTCACATTTCTGCCGATGTACTTTCCTATAAGGGTTGGTTGGACAAAGCAATGCAGCTATCCTGAAAGCTGCAGAGACGATGGTAAAACCTTTCGCTGTTTTCACCTAAAAACCCTTTTTAATAAATATAACTAATAATTTCTTTCCAAGCATGTCTATATTGTGCCCCTTTGACTCTATAGGAAAAATGGGGAAATACGTGAGGACATTTCCATGAGGATACAATATATTAGTAAGCTACATAATACTCACAAAACTTAGGATCAATGTATTCGTATTTCCCAAAACAAGATACAGGATATGCACCCATCACTGGGCCAATTCTGCTTATCATATAGAGTGATTCAGAATAACTTTTATAACCAGGAAGGACAAGTTATGTTTTATATGGAAAACATTATAATACTTAGAATTCATAAGCTATAGGCAGGTTGAATAAAACTTGACAATGGTTCATATTCATGTTCCTTTTTGCATTTAAATGCTATCATGAATACTATAGACATCCCATGAGAAGCCATACTTGTAAAAATAATTAGCCTATTAACAGCATGAGACCAAAGTGGATTGGTCTTTAGTTCTTTACTACAATGTGTCTCGGAATTACTTATGGGATTAGAAAATGACAAAGCTCTTTTCTCTTTTCTGAATGAAAGTTTTAAGCCCTTATTTTCCTTTATTCTGTCCCACTGAGATTTTTAAGGTTCCTTTGCTTTTATTACCTTTAAGGGCAGCATTTTGGTTCATATCCTTTCGTTCCAACTGAAGACAAAAACAGACAGTTCTAGAGACTGGGAATTTATAAAAAATTCAGGATTAAAAAAATAATCTACAAATAAGAAGTTGAACTTTATCCTCCCAAAGCAGCATGAAAAGCATATACCCTGAAATTTGAATGATCAATCAGCTGTTTGGCATTCTGGCAAGACAAATGACTCTTTCATGAATTCGTTTTTCTTCTGCTTTCAATTCAGATATATTTTATTTTGACAATTAATGGTATTAAAAGAATGGGATTCTACTCTAATTTTTTTTGGGGGGGAGGGAATTACTTTTCTACCTCAGATCTCCTTTTGTTACTTGGCGGTTAAGGCCTCTGGAAATAAGAAAGCTGGGATTGCAAATCCAGCTTCCTCACTGAATCTGCTACCTCTGCTGTGTCATATTGCCTTCACTGTCCTCCAGAATAGAATCATTCTGATTTCTGGCATCTAAGCAAAAGATGCTGCTGCAAATATGAAATATCATGTTATCATCTCAAAAAATAAATCCATCACTAACACCGGCGTTGTGGAAAGAGCAGATAAGGAACTAAAATATAACCAAGATCACTACCTTGCAACACGTACATCATGGATTTCTTTGGTTAACACAGTACATTAATTATTTGTGATAGCACATTTTATTAATGTAATGAAGTCTTAGAAACCTGAGACTTTATGCCAGCTCTCTGCTATTAAATCTTTTGCAAGAGGTGAGGAAAGACTACCAGGTGCTCCTGTTTTCCTGAGAATTAGAGGGGGTTTGTACATGAAGTGAAAATTAGCAGGTTTTACCACATTATGAAGATGATTTTCTTGAGTGGAAAATTAAAGAGTGTTCTACAGTGAACTCACTTCCTTTGTTTGGTTTCAGCAAGTCTTCATGTATGGGGGCCCTGTCTACTGCTTCTTATTTCTGTTGTAGGCCAACAAAAACATGGACTTACAGAAGGCTCAGTTCACAGAAATGCCTCAGTACTTTACCTCAATTCTCTGTCTGATATACATTTAAACAAGTCTTGAAAGGCCATCACAAGTGAATTCAAGCTTCCATTTGGAGACTCTCAGGGAAATCTGGGTCTGTGCAAAATTCAAAGTGAAATCCCTCTAGGTGATGAAAGAAGCTGTCATTCAGTGGGGACATCTATTTGAGGATGAATGTCATGTGCCTCTTGCAAACGCCTGGAGATAAAAAGTCAGCGTTTAAGATCACAGGCCAACCTGAAAGATAATACCCTGAATTCCTCAGCAATGTCAAAGTCTCGGGACATTCTTTCCCAAACAATTCCTGAAGTTATTCCACAAATATAGTCTGTCTTTAGTTTTGTTAAGCTTCATGAACTACTTAGTAGCTGCTGTTTTAATTTAATGAAGACCAAAGCACTATACTTGACATGTAGTATTTAATAAATACTTCTTGACTGACTGACTGACCAAATAACGCTATCTTTTACAAGCTTATAGAAGGTAATGTTACACCTAATATAGCAAGGCCATAAATGCCAAAGAAAACAGAAAAATGTTGTTGTTCAGTTGATTCTAACTCTTTGCAACCTCATTTGGAGTTTTCTTGCAAAAGATGCTAGAATGATTAGACATTTCCTTCTCCCGATCATTTTACAGATGAGGAAACTGAGGCAAACAGGATTAAGTGACTTGCCTAGAGTCACAGCTACTAAGTGTCTGAGGCCAGATTTGAACTCATGAAGATGAGTCTTCCTGACTCCAGGCCTGGTACTCTATCTACCATGCCACCGAGCTGTCCAAATAGAAAGATTGAGATTAGGTAAAACTTGGGTATCAACTAAATTAGACAGTTCATGTTTTCAAAAAACACATTTTTTTAAAAAGAACTTTTAATTCACATTGCTACAATTTACAACATTTTGTCTTAGAATCTCACCTTGGAACAAGCTATTAAAGTAAATATCTCCCTCCAAGGAAGAGGATATATTTTAAATATTCCTTTTAAATGAATAGATCTACTTGGTAAGTATATGCACTGTAGTGACTTGGCTCACAGAATTTATCTTAACATCCCTTAAATGTGAAGTATTCCTTCCATATCTGTAAAGTTTTATTTTGTTTCCATCTTTGCATCACCAGCACTTAGAACAGTAACTGACACATTGGGGAGGATGGGCAGAGAGTCTGGGGGAAGGCAGAGTAAGAAGGAAGATGGAGCAAGGGAGACCAGTGAGTTTCTTAGTGCAGGGAAAGCCTAGTGAGGAGACTCCCTCTACCAAGGCAGATCAGAGAGGGCTCTATAAATTATAGCCTTGAAAAGTTAAGTATTGAGAGGTTAAGTGATTTGCCCAGGGACACACAGTCATTATTGTAAAAGGCAGGCTTTGAAGCAAGGTCTTCATTACTCCAAGACCATCTCTCCATCCACTTGGCCAGGTTGCCTCTTACCTGAGAGCTAGTAGGGGCTTAATAAATGCTTGTTGAAATGAAATTAATTCAATTAAATTGAAATTTGCTCAAATCAACTTTCTCTTCCTTCTAAAATGGAAAGATTTTTACATAAATTTCATCTTCTACAAATTCCAGATGGACCCATAAACTATTCCAATTTCAGAAATGTTTATAAATCAATACAAACTCAAGATTTTTGAAACCTCACAAAATGGTCTTGTTAGAGTTTATTCCTTTTCATGTGATGCCCCTGAGAAGAAACTTATTCTGTATCATGTCTGTAAGTTAGCTATAGTTATTCAAAGGCATGGAAACACTGAAACTCACCAGATTACCCATAAAGAGCATATATTAGACTATTAAGATATTGGTCTATCAAGATAAAGAATATAGGTGGCTTCATCATACTACCATCTTAGATATACTGTATAGAGGTCATTGAATGTTGGCAAGATGTAGTGGATGTGAGGGACTTGAAGTGGTCATGAATGAGAATTAATGCAGCAAGAAAC